GATTTTGGCCAAGTCATTTAACCTATCTGGCCCAGTTTCCCCATCTAAAAAATGAAGGGATTGGATGAACCAGCCTTTGAGTTCGCTTCTAGCTCTAGACCAAAGAGACTGTTCTTGTAGTGATAGTATTTAAGATTCCATAGTTACAACAGAATTGCAAGTAATTCTCTACTCTTCTTTTTAATGAATAGCACTGGGGCACCAGCGAAGTGGGTGAAAGACAACACAAACCTGTCTATTTGGTTCTCTTCTTCTTCTTCTTCTTCTTCTTCTTCTTCTTCTTCTTGGTGAGGCAATTGGGGTTAAATGACTTACCCAGAGTCACACAGCTAGTGAGTGCTATGTGTCTGAGGGCGGATATGAACTCAGGTCCTCCTGACTCCAGGGCCAGTGCTCTATCCACTGCACCACCTAACTGCCCCTGATTCTCTTCTAAGACTCCTATAGATGACCTAATCAATGAATAGATCTGGATGGTCAGAATTAGGTTACCCAGAACTGGAAGATCCAGAACTTCAGCCATAACTGTGATATAATTCTTTTAGTAGAATGTAAGCTCCCTTGAGGGCAGGGACTATCTCACTTTTGTATCATATTTTCAATGACAAGCATTGCCTGACACAATAGGAGATAGATAGATAGATAGATAGATAGATAGATAGATAGATAGATAGATAGATAGATAGATAGATGGACAGACAGAAAGCTTACTATGTGCCATGTGCTGTGTAAGTCCTAGAAAACAAATATATGCAAAAGAAGCCATCCTTATGTTTGAAAAAAAGACATGAAAAAGAGCTGAAGAGCAGGGTGGAGGGTGGGTACCCTCACAAGGTCAAGGTGAAAAAATATTCTAGAGAGTCATGGGCTGAACCAGGTTTGAACTGGGTGTGGTTCTCTTGGATACTTCCTCAAATGGAAGTTCCAGGGAGGAACTCTCTAATCAGAGGAAGAAACCTTAGGTACAGCCACAGAGGCAGAGAAGTAATCCTGAGAATCATGGACTTAGCTGGTTTTGCAGGTACTTAATATATGTGTGCTGATTGATTGGTTCAATGACAGATGACTATAGGAGGTCAATCAGCCTAATTAGTTGCAGAGAGTCATAGCCAAGCTCTCCAAAAATGGATCCACCATTGGTCAATTCTTTCCAAATCTTCCTGATTTAGGGCATAAAAGCTGGCATCCTCTATCATGGTGCCTTGCTCCTGCTGGAATAAAAGCTCCATCAGTGTGGTCTGAAGAACCTGTTCTCACCATCATCATCATCAGTTCAGAGTTATAAGAGACCTTATAGGGCATTTAACCCAACCTCCTCATTTTACAGATGTGGAAACTAAAGTAGTCCACAGAAGTTTGTGGCAATAAATAGGTGGCACAGTGGATAGAGAGCACTGGGCCTGGGGTCAGGAAGACCTGAATTCAAACCTGGCCTCAGACACTTATTAGCTGTGTGACCCTGGGCAAGCCATTTAGCCCTGTTTGTCTCAGTTTCCTCATCTGTAAAATGAGCTGGAGAAGGAAATGGAAAACCACTCCAGTATCTCTGCCAAGAAAACCCCAAATGAGATCAAGAAGAGCTGGACATGACTGAAAATGACTAAACAGCAACAATCACAAAAACAAAGCAAAGTCAGAAATAGGACTCATGTCACCTGATTCTAAAACCAACTTGGAGTCTGCCCTTTGTATGTTCCCCTACACTCTATTGCCTCTTATCATCCATTGGGAATTATTTCCTATGTGGTAGGCCTACCCCAGCAACTCCATTAGGTTTGATGCAACAAAAGCTACTTTGGCCCAAGGTATAGAAAACTCAGAGTAAAAGTCAATTAACTTGGCACTGCCAGAGGCCCAATTTCATGCTAGAAATTAATTAAAGTTTGGAAATTACATGAGTTGAAGACCAGGAATTAGTCAGTCAATCAACAGGTACTTATTAAGTATCTATTTTCTATGTGTCAAGCAATGTGCTAGGGCTGAGATACAAAGATAACAATGAATAATCCCTGTCTTCAAGGAGCTTACATTCTCTGAGAGCAAACAATCTGTATATAAATAAATTATGTGAAATAAATACCAGGTAAAAATTTGTTGAGGGGTAAGGCAGTAGCGGTTGGAAGGGAGGGGAAGCTTGAAAGAACATGCTACCAAAGGTGGCACTTGAACAGAGTTTAAAAAGAAACAAGAGATTCAAAGAGGCAAAGGTGAAGGAGTGCATGGGGAGAAGGGGGCACAGCTAATGCAAGAGTGCAGAGACAGGAGATGAGATAACACGCATAGAGTCTAAAGAACAGCGAGAAGACCAGTTTATCTGGATTGTAGAGTTTCAAAAGAGGAATAATGTAGAATGAGGTTGGAAAGGTAAGTTAGGCTAGATTGTGAAGGACTTTGAAAGTCAGAGGAACTTACGTTTAATCCCAAAGGCTGCTGGAGTCACTGGAGTTTTCTGTATGCTGGAATAACATGGTCAGACTTGAAAAAAAGAAAATCACTTGGGCAGTTCTTTGAAAGATGAATTGGAAAGGGGAGAGCCTTGAGGCAGGGAAACCAGTCAGGGGGCTATTGTAAGAGTCCAGGAGAAAGGTGATGAGGCCCTGAACTAGGTTGGAGACTGTGTTAATAGGGAAGGAACTGAACTATAGATATCATGGAGGTAGAAAGACTGGATGGTCATGTGTGTTGAAGGAGAGTTAGGCATCCAGGATAAAGCCAAGACTTCAAACTTTGACAGCTCCTCTGCCTAGCTAGTAAAGCTGTAGCTAGTAAAGCTGTCTAGGAGTAGGCAGGGCTGTCGCTGCATGCTACTGCTTAAAACCCACGTGGTGGAAAGCGTCCCTCCTGCTCGCCTTGTCCTTGTCTGCTTCTATTGTCTCTTCTGCCCTGAGGTCTCCAGAGCCCCCTGCTGGCAAATTAGCAGAGCAGCCAGCAGCTCTGACATTAACCCCCTGGTAGGACAAAGGTGGGATAGTCAGGAATGCACTAGCTTACTGAAAAAAAAAAAAGTACACAGGCTACCTTTTAAAATTTGATCTGCATTACTAACATTTTCTCCTCCATTTTTTTATGTCTAGACAACCCATAAAATCAAGTCCTGAGTTTTAGTGTTTGGTAGTTTCTGAGGTTTAAATGCTCACACTGAAAGTTTAAGAAATGGAGCCTGTCTGGACCAGAGGCTATATCTGTGTCAAAATGAGGGTGTCAAATTGTACCTAAATGACCCTTTAAAATCTGCTCAAAATTTCTCCTTTTTTCAATTTTTGTTATCATGGTTCAATCGTGTCTGACCCCCATTTGGGGTTTTCTTGGCAAAGATATTGGAGTGGTTTGCCATTTGCTTCTCCAGCTCATTTTACAGAAGAGGAGCTAAGACAAACAGGGTGAAGTGACTTCCCCAGGGTCAGACAGCAAGTAAGTGTCTGAGGCCAGATTTGAACCCGGGAAGATGAGTCTTCCTTATTCAAGCCTGGCACTCTAACTGCTGTGTTACCTAGCTGCCCCCTCCTCTTCTTAATACCATATCCTTGAACACTGCTATAACTGTCTGGGTTTTTTTTCCCCAATAGAATTCTGTCTTTGCTCTCCTTTCCAAAAGATAGTAAGTAGGAAAACATGTTGGTCAGTCATTTCATTACTTATGCCTGTGACTGAAACCTAGCTCTTCAGACCATGGGTACCATTGTTCAGGCAATGGCTATATACCCAAAATGCAAGTAAAAGATGACAAAAATAGCTGATTATGTTAGGTTAGCTGAGCCTGCTAACCTAAACCTATAAAATGAAGAAAGAAAGATTAGTTACAAATATTATATCCACCCCACTTTGAGATCCCATAGCCCATCCAAAACTGCTCAATTTCTTCTACCTGATTTCCCAGTCATATAAGCTACGTGAGCCTGGTCCATCACTAAGGTGTAGGACCGGTCATGTATTAATTCCATCTGGCCCAGAAAAGCCTGTATCCCCACCGGCATTCATGTTCCAGGCTGTATGGCCTTCAGCTGATTAGGGTTGGAGGTTGGGGTTGCTAAGCAAGCCACCTTCATAAAATGATACTTTGCCTGAAACAAAATGTTAGGATTCAACTCTACTCTTTCCTCCATGATGTTTCCCTGGCCTCGCACTATGTAGCTTGGTGAAGCAGCGAATAGAGCACTGGGCCTGGAGCCAGGAATTTGGCTTCAGATATTTCCTTGCATGACCCTGATCAAGACACTTAACCTTTGTCTGCCTCAGTTTTCTCAATTGTAAATTGAAGATAGTAATAGCACCTATCTCCCAGGGTTGTTAGGATCAGAGATATTTTTTTCCTTTTTTATTAATTTAATTTTTTTTGGAGGGGGTGTTAGGTTTGTTGTTGTTGTTGTTGGTTGTTTTTTTTTTGGAGGCAATTGGGGTTAAGTGATTTGCTCAGGGTCATACATCTAGCAAGTTACTGAGGGCGAATTTGAACTCAGGACCTCCTACTCCAGGGCCAATGCTCTATCCACTGCACCACCTAGCTGCCCCTGTGTATTTGTGAAGCAGTGAGCATAATGTCTGGTACGTGGTAGGTACTTAATGAATGCTTGTGTCCTTCCTACCACCACTACCAAACTTTTGGATGCATTGCTCTCAAATTCTATCACACGTTCCTGTCTACCCTCTGGATCTGATGTCTTCTGGATTACAGATCAAGACACTAGGGAGAAGAGAAGGATTTTCCCAGGATCTCATGGCTTGTGAGACTGGCAGAAACTGGAACTGAAGCCAGATATTCTAACTCCTCGGAGGCAGCATAAAACAGTGGAGAAAGGCTTTGAAGCCAGATGATCTGGGTTCAAATCTTGCCACAGACATTTGCTACCTCTATGACCTTGGACAAATCAGTTAACCTCCTTGGGTCTCAGTTTCCTTGTTTGTGAAATGAAGAGGTTGGAATCAACAGCATCTGATTTCCCTTCCCACTGCAGATCTGGGATGTTCTTTTACCCCATCGCCCTTTCCTTCTTTCTGCACAGGTTATCACAGCTCATTCTTTCCCTTAGAGCATGGGCTACAAGACATATTCGTCAGGAAGACCGAAGGCCAGATTCCTTCCTGGAGCGTTTCCGAGGGGGAGAACTCAAAGAGCTGTCCAGCCGAGAAAGTTTCACCCAGTCCAGCTTAGGCATCCAAGAGGTGTCAGAGAGAGAGAGAAGGTAGGGCACCTTCTAAAGACAATGGCAGGTGGGATTTCAAAGGGGAAGGTTGGGTTTTGTTGGGTTTCCTTTTTTGGCTTTTTTGGCTTTTTAGATCAATCAATCAAACAATAAACATTTATTAAATGCCTGCTATGTGCCAATCACTGTGCCAAATGCTGAGGATACAAAAAGAGGCAAAGATAGTTCCCTACCCTCAAGGAGATTAAAATATAATGGGAGAGAGATTATGCATACAACAAATATATACAAATATATAAGCAAGTTATATACAAGATAGATAGATAGATAGATAGATAGATAGATAGATAGATAGATAGATAGATAGAAACTAATTAACACAAGAAAGGCACTAGACTTTAGAGAGATTGGGGAAAGCTTACAATAAAAGATGGAATTTTAGTTGGGACTTAAAGGAAGCCAGGGAGGTCAGTAATTGGAGAGGCATTCTAGGCATGGGGAGAGCCAGAAAGGATTCCTGGAGCTGAGAGATGGAGGGCCTTGTTTGTAGAACAGCTAGGAGACCAGTGTCACTGGATTGAGGAGTATGGGTAGGGAGTAAAGTATAAAAAAACCCGGGAAGGTAGAAGGAGGCTAGGTTATAAAGGGCTTTGAATGCCAAATAGAGCATTTTGTATTTGATCCTGGAGGCAATAGGGAGTCACTGGAGTTTATTTAGTACAGGGTGACATGATCAGACCTGCGCTTTAGGAAAATCATTTTAGTGGCCAAATGGAGGATGTATAGGAGTGGGGAGAGACTTGAAGCAGGCAGACCCACCAGCAGGCTGTTGTAATAATCCAGACATGAGGTGATGAGAGCCTGTACCAGAGTGTTGGCAGTGTCACAGGAGGGAAGGGGGCATATTGGAGAGATGTTACAAAGGTGAAATCAACCAGCCTTGGCAACAGATTGGATATTGGGGGTGGAAGGCTGGTGTGTGTGAGAGATACTGAGGAATCCAGGATGAAACCAGGAATCTGGATTGGGAGGATGGTGTTGCCCTTTACAGTAATAAAGAAAGTAGGAGGGGGAGAGAGTTTAAGGGAAAAGATAATGAGTTCTGTTTTGGACATATTGAGTTTAAGATGTCTATTGGACATCCAGTTTGAGATGTCTGAAAGGCAATTGGAGATAATAGATTGGAGGTCAGCAGACAGTCTGGGGCAGGAGAGGTAGATTTGAGAATCATCAGCACAGAGACGGTAATTAAATCCCTGGGAACTGATGAAAATACCAAATGAAGTAGTAAGAGGGAGAAGAGAAGAAGGCCCAGGACTGCTTTCTAACAATATACCCACTAAAGTTCAGGCTGCCCAGCTGGGATAGTAGTCATTATTACAACACACAGGATGTTTTGGGGTTTTTTTTTTAACCACACTGCTCATTAGAGAGGCTAGCATTCCTAAAAGGAAGGTCCAAAGGACAAGGCCAGCTGCCTTTCACATTGAACAGCCTACTGATGGAGTTGAAAGCAGTGTCCTTAAGATCAGACCCAGAGAAATCCTGGCCCAGAAAGAATGGCCTCTCAAACATTTGTATTTCTCTGACCTTCCCACATTCTGAGAGGCTCTCGGTTTCTGCAGAATTCTACTGATGACACAGCTAAGCAACAGCTGGCCAGTTACAAGTCTTTGCAATTATCACAGAAAGCACAGCAGGTGTTTTTGCACACTTTTGTGTGGCCTTGGTGGGTGTTGGAGAGAGAGTTAGTTCAGCAGGGGAAGCATGTCTTGGATAAGTGTCAAGGACAGGCTTATTCTTGTCTCAGGCCATCTCCCTGGAAGAATGAAATGATGTCCTTTGGCTGAATCCTCAAGGTCTTACCCAGGGTCACACTCCATAGACAAAAATAAGATATAGCCTTTTCTCCACCCCATTCCGTATCTCTGATAAAGACTTACACTTAAATATTTAAATTAGAGCAACATCCCCTAGACAGGCTAAAGATGATTTCCCTGGCATGCATTTTTCCCTGGGTTGCAAATATGAAAAATAAACTTTCCCAGTTCTTGGTTCAGCCTAAACTGGTGGCTGAGAGGTGATCTGGGTCGTTCTACTAGGAGCCCTCAGCTAGGTGTTCAGATTTGTTTTAATGGTGAAAAGCTCAGTCAGTCTATTTATCTTGCAACCTCTCATATGGCTCTGAGGCAAGGAGACTCAGGCTTTCTTTGGGTCATAGGATCATAGGAAAGGCAATGCTGGTGAACCAAACTCTCTCCTCTCTGACCTTGTGCTCAGCAAGCCATTGAATTATGTGTGTGTGTATATACGTATGCATGTGTGTATATTTGTATGGATGTATATATATATGCATATGTGTATGTATGTATGTATATGTATATATTCTAGTTCTATACGTACTATATATATTCTGTTTATGTATATTCTATTTCTATATTCTATATATGTTCTGTTTACATATATATACACACACATAGAGAGAGAGAGGGAGAAAGAAAATGTAACCAAAGTATGGAGGATCTGAATGGAATGAAGGTACTGATATGGACATGGGGTAGGAGTGGGGTTTGGGACTATGCATTGGAGGTAAACTGGAATTGGGAAGGTTTCCTGGAGGAAATTGAATTTAACTCACATCAGGTTGTTTGACTTCTTTTGCCTCCTATCCAAAATGAGATATTGTCTTAAAGTATGGATGAGGTCACTTTTCCCTCTTGTTTTGAAAGATGTAGGATGAGGTGGGATAAACATGGTAAACAGTGGCTAATTATTACAGTGCCTGGGTGTTTGTACAACACCTCTCTGGACCACAGAGCTCCATGGTCCTGAATTTACATGCCTTTAGAATAAGAGGAGAATCAGCTTTATTATTCCTCCAGGAATTCTTTACATAATCAGAGCCAAGCCTTGCACCCTCAGAACAAGCAGAACCGGTCATGACCCAGCAAGCCCTAGAGATTGAAACTTGGTCTCTCTGCTGAGCTTCCCCCTTGACCCTTCCTTCCCCCCACCCTCAAATTCTAGCCAAAACAGCAGCTTGTACTGGGCAAAGTCACTTCCCCCTCTAGCACAGGGAAAGCTCAGTTGTTGCTTGGACAGAGAGGGCGACAGAAATAGCCAGAAGGATATCTTGCTGGCCTGTCTAGTGCCATAAATAGTGAGAGCTGGGCTGTCAGGCCTTAGTCCATCTGCCAACAGCTTCGGTCACATAGCTTGCTCACAACTGTGTGTGTGTGTGTTCTGGGTGGGATCAGGGACAGGCAGGACTCCGGCTACCTATGCCAAGAGGCTTAGAGCAGGGATCAAATTGACTTTCTTAAGCTGTTGAGGTGGAGGGTGGAGGGGGTGGGGGAGGAGCGATGACAGCTGAATGCATACGTGGTAATAAACACACAAAGACACTCTGTAGGAGTCCTGGGAGGGATAGCTAAGATGTCGGGTGATAGAATCAAAAGTCACAAAGATCTACACAGATTGCAGGGATGGGCTGGAACTGACATGAAATGTAATAGGCCTGAATGTAAAGTCTAGCCCTTGGAGTTAAAAAAAAATATATCAGCCACTCAATTACAAGACTTAGGGGCTTTAATTGATATGAGCTCCCTGTGAGCCACTGTGACATGGCTGCTCAGAAAGTTAATTCAATCTGTTTCACCCATCACATCCTGGCAGAAGACTCCCCAGTTTGCTTCTCCAGCCCTGACCTCTCTTCTGACCTCCAGAGCCACATCTCCAACTGTTCATAGGGCAACCTCAAACTCATTACGCTCCAGATTGGACGACATGCTCCCATTTCTCCTTTTGGCTTCACTGTTCCTGCCTAGGGAAGCAATTTAGTAGCCTTGAGATTATCTGATTCCCTCTGTTGATTTCACCTCTTTAATACCTCTTCCTTTTATTTCTTCCTGTTTTCCCACTGCTATCACCCTAGCATAAGACCATATGCCTGGGCTCCTGAAGTAGCATCCTAATAGGTCTTTTGGACTCTACTCTTATTATTCAATTCAATTCAGTTCAATAAGTGTTTGTTAATTGACTGCTATGTGCAAGGAACTCTGCTAAGTGCTGGGGATACCAGACAAAATCAACATGATCCTTCTCTCAAAGAGCTTACATTCAACTGGAGGAAAACAACACGTCCACAGATAACACATACATGGATATTCTATCCACTCCAATCCACCTTCCATATACATGCCCCCCCAAAATCTTAAATTTATATATTATATTTTTTACTACATACTATATATTTTATATACTATATTATTATATATTATATACAATATATATTTTATCTTATATAATATATAGTATATATAATCAATAATGTCTTGTATATTATATTGTGTTTACATACTTTATTATATACTTTATAAATATTGAATTTACCTATTATATATGTATATGAGTAGATGAGTAACTTGACCAATATATTGGTCCCCATTGCCAACCTAATAAAATTCAAACACTTTTGCCTGTTATTCAAGCCCTTCTACAAACTGACACCTTCCCAATTTTGTCTTCTGTAGCTTACTAAATCCATTGACTCTACATTCTAGACAAAAAAGATTACTTTCTGCCTCCCTACATGCCTTATGTTGCCCCCACCTATGTGCTTTTGCTCAAAAATTTACCTCATGAATCAGTCCTGGGCCCTCTTCTCTTCTATCTCTACACTCTCTCTCAAGGATCTTCTCAGCTCCCACTGGTTCAATAAATTCAGTGTAGTTGGCTCCTTGGGTCTACTTATTCAGCCTTCATCTCTATCCTGAGTTCCAGTCTCACATCACTTACTGCCTGTTGGACATCTCCTACTGGATATACCATAGACATTTAAATTCAATACATCTAGAGCAAAACTCATTATCTTCTACTTCAAACCCATCCTTCTTCCCATCTTCCATTTTTCTGACTAGGACACCACCGATCATTTCCATTGATCATCATTTAATCAGCCAAGTTCACAATTTCCAAGACTTTCTTCACTCTTACCTCCTTCACCCCTCATACCCAAAGAGTTGCAAAGTCTTGCTGATTCTACTATCACAATACCTCTTCCCATCCATATCTTTTTTTCCACTCTTACAGTCACCACTCTTCTTCAAGCCCTCAACACTTCTCACATGGAATATTGTCCATTATTCTCCATGCCTCCAATATCTTTCCTTTCCAAACCAACCTCCACCCACCAACCAAAATGATAATCCTAAGGGACAGGTGTGATTATCTGTCACCCACCCCCAGCTCAAGAAGCTTCAGAGGTAACCTCAGCCTCTAGAATAAAACATGAAGTCATCTGTTTGGCATTTTAAGCCCTTCACAATCTGACTCCAACTTCAATTTCTAGACTGATTTCACATTATCCTCCATCATGCACTCTGAAACCCAATCCACTTGGCGTACTTACTATACCATCTTCCACCTCCAGTCCTGGAATGCTCTCTCTACTTAGCTCTTCTCTTGGAATCCCTACCTTTCTTAAGGTCTGAGCCTAAGTGCCAGCTCCTACCAAAGCCTTTCCCTGACTTCCCCACTTCTTAGAACTCTCCCCATCTCCCCGCTAAAATTACAAATGCATATAGATATATACATATGCACACACATACATACACATATATACCTACACAAAAATACATTTAGACACACATACGTAGATATACATATGCACACATATGCATGTATGCATATGTGTATATCACATGTATCTACATGCACACACATATATTATGTTTAACATATCGAATACACATATAATATTTATCTCTGTGTACATGTAGTTTCTCCAGAGTAGAACGAGAACTCCTTGAGGGTAGGGACTTTTCCATGTTTGTCTCTGTGTCCCCAGTGCATAGCACACAGTCTGGTTTAAAAAATGTTTATTGGATTGAATTCCAGTTTGTTCATGGCCACCTTATGATAATACCCCAAACTGAACCTAACACTTCAGATATGCTCTGACATGTCAATCAAAGTAGAGTCGAACCCTTGTCTCCCTTTTTCTACCTTTTATTGTTGTTCAGTCTTTTCATTCATGTCTGACTCTTTGAGGTTTTCTTGGCAGAAATACCAGAGTGGTTTGTCATTTCCTTCTCCAGCTCATTCTTACAGATGAGGAAACTGAGGCAAACAGGGTTAAGTGCCTTGCCCAGGGCCACACTCATTCTACATGCTATATTCCTTTTAATGAAGTGTAAGAAGGCTGCATTAGTTTTTTGAACAGCCTGCTATACTGGTTCTCTGTAAACATCAACTCAACTCCCTAAGTAGCTTGCTTTGCTGATGAACTCCCTAATGAGCACAGCTGCCAGAATGGGACAGAACACGGCGGAAGCAGGAGTGGGTCCAAGAGACAGGGGAGAGAATGGAAGCCAAGGACTTGGATAATGCACAAAGTAGAAATCAAGGGCCTTGAGTAACTGGAAATAGATTGAAAACTCTCCGAATTCTGTGTTTTATTTACCTCCTTACAGAGGCTGGCCGCTGGCCAGACATAATATCAACACCTGCAACAATGCCAACGAAGAGTAAGTACCCCCAGCTCTCCCTTAGCCAAGTAAACCAAGCCTCCTACCCTCTGTTTTATAACGCCTCCCCCTAGTGGTGACTCTCCTAGCTGTAGAAACTCCTGCTCTTCTCTTTCTCCACCCCTCCAGGATCCTGCTGCTGCCTCCCTCCTAGGAAGATTTCTAGGTAATGGAACTTCCTGTCCTCTCTTTTGAAAGCCATGCTACAAGGTCAAAGCGAGAAAAAGCTAGACCTGAGTCTTCACTCCTCCATGTGCCCCCTGTAGCAGAATGTTTTTCTTCATTATTGTTTCTGCATTAAATGCCTACAACTGAATTTAGGAATCACGGGTCAGATTTCATTTTCAAAACTCTGTAGCTCTTGTCCCCAGCAATGATAGCTTTACATTTTCTGAGCATGAGGCTAGCGAATCACAGCTTCCCCACGCCCTTGACCACACTAAGCCCAGATTTCTGAGGCAAAAAATCAGTGTGATGGGACAGTGGATTGGGAAAGTTAACATTTTTTAGTCCAATTGAGTTCTCCACATTGAATCTTCTTATAGTGAGAGAAGTGCTATAATTATTTAGAATTCCTTGTTATTTTCCATTTCATTCCTAGGATAAGGTTTCCCCTCCCCTTCACTTCCGGCAGGGACCAATATTTGCATAAATTTGCACATCAAATTCAAGAGGCCAGAACTCCAGCATGTAAAAAAAATTAAAATTCATTCATTCATGAAACCTATTTGAATCATAGCCAGACTCAATATTTAAACACACCTGAGACTTCACACATTTTGAAACCACACAGATTTAAAATCAGGAGGAAGAGTGAGCAATGGGGGGGGGAATTTGGAGGGTGTTCTCTGTCTTCCTTCTTTCCTCCCCCCTCAACTGAGAGACAGAGAGATACACTGAGAAAAGCCTTCTGGTATTGGGGTCAAGGGGCATGATGAATTCTAGGTTTAGCTTTGCCAACTGAGTCAAACTGAGACACTGTCACATCTCCCGGCTTTACAGGACAAGGTTGAACTATATATTGTCTAAGGCTCTGACATTCCATAAGATAAATCTATGCCCCAGAGTGGGGCTGAGGCTCCCCACCATGTTAGGAGGTAGCTGCCCCAGGCTACTCAAAGCCAGAAACAGGTGTGGATACAAGTCAGAACCAGGGACAGGTGGATACAGTCAGAAATGATTCTATCAAAGAGGGCAAACTTGATAGAAGCACAGAATATTAAAGAAAAATGCTCTATATGTAACATCCTATCTGTCCACATGAAAGCTCTCTTTCTCTGTCTCTGTGTTTCTTCTGTCTCTCTCTTTGTGTCTCTCTGTCTCTATCTCTCCCTCCTTTCTCTTTTTTTTCCTCTCAAAATTTCAGGGAATTTTTCCTATTGGTCCTATTGCATCTGAATATCATCTCTCAGTCTTGTTTCCAGTTGCTCCCATCGGCCTCAACCAATGCTAGCATTGCCTAACAGCTCTCCTGATAACCTTAGGAGAATGCCTCCTGGTCTAAAAAAAATCTTTCCCTAGTTTGGTAAGGCAGAGCTGCGGCTAGATTTGATGATGGGCACGAGTGTTCTTTCTGGATTCTCAAGGTACTCTAGGCAGTTATCACCTAACAGGCAACAGATGGACTGCAGAGACATCATATTGTCACAGGGCCATGGAAACAGGATGGAGCATTACCAGCCTGACCTCACACTAAGCAAGGAAAACTCAGAATGGGGGCTAGTACAGAATGATAATCGTGTGAATAGCAGCCTCTGCTGGTGAACTGATGCTAGTACCTTAAAGGCAGACGAGGACGCCATGGACTCTGGGATAACTTATGTTGGCCAGGTCTTTGAATCTCACTGGGCAACCTGGAGGTTATAAGTATCATTTTAGAAGACTCAACGACTACTGTTGAGATTATTTGGTGTTTTCTGGTTCTTGCCAACTGACACTCTAAAAAGAGGAGAAAGTTGGACTATACGTTGTCTAAGGGCCACTCTGATATTCTATGAACCAAATCTATGCCCCAAAGTGGGGCTGAGGTTCCCTCCATATTGGGAGTAGCTGCCCTAGGCTATTCCTCAAAGCCTTGCCTTCTGAGCAGCAAACCTCAATACCTGCCATGTAAGAGTTTGCATTTTTACAGTTATTTCTGACCCAAAGCAGGTAGAAGCATAAATCTCCCAAGAAGACCTGCTTCGTGAAGCTTGGCCAGCAGGGATGAGATGCTGGCAGTTTCCCATGAGACTTGGAGCTGGGTCTGAATTCTGCATAGTTGGAAGAACTTTGCCCTGGGAACCAGAAGGCCTAGCTTGTAGTCCCTGCTCCTTTGCTCGCTAGCTGTGTGACCTTTGGGTTTCAAATCGCTCATCAGCAAAAGAAAAAAGAGACTAGAGGTCCTTTCCAGCTCCAAGAATCTGTGAGTCTGTGACTCTGACGCAGTGACCAAAAGCCGGTTAGCCTTGAGGTCCATCAATGTAAGTGACCCAGACACTTTCTTGCTTAAGCTGCCTGATCATTTTACAAAGATTTGAGTCCAAACGAGAGCCCTGAATGTAGTGCTTAAGAGCTAAATTTGTAGGAAAAACTGGAAAATAATAAACACCTTCCTTTCACTCCCCACCCCTACTTTGGGAAATGATCACTTCTGCCTGTGAAGTGCTATTTCCCCCAATCATCTCTTGTTTCTCAAAACTAACGCCTATAATGATACCTACTATTCAGGTAGCGCTTGAAGGTATGCAAAACGCTTTACATACATTGCTTCGTTCGATCCTCACAACTCTGTGAGATGCTATCGTTATACCCCTTTTATAGAAGGGAAAACTGAGAGCAGTTAAATGATTTGCCCAATGTCACACAGAGAGCAAAGGTCTGAGGCAGGATTCAAACTCAGGTCTCCCTGATTCCAATTCTAATTATCTATCCACTGTGCTGTGCTTTCTCTCTAGCAGATGATTCTCATGTCACTAGCTAGAAAGGACCTTAGAAGACATCTAGTCCACTCCCAATCCCTACCCCAGCCTTATCTTACAGGTGACACTACTGTTGCCAATATAAATGAAGTGACTTGTCCAAAGTCCTTGTTGTTTGTTTAGTTTTTCAGTCATGTCAAACTCTTTTTGACCCTAGTTGAGGGTTTCTTGGCAAAGATACTGGAGTGGTTTACCATTTCCTTCTCCAGCTAACTTTACAGATGAGGAAACTGAGGCAAACAGGATTAAGTGATTTGCCCAGGGTCACACAGATAGTAGGTGTCCGGGGATAGATTTGAACTCAGGTTTTCCTTAACCCAGGCTTGGTGCTCTGTCCACTGCACTACCAAGCTGCCTGTCCAAAGCCCTGCAAACATTAAGCAGCAGAGCTGGGATTCAAACAAAGACCCTCTGGTTCCAAAGTGAGCATTCTTACCACAGTGTCTCCTGCTTTTAGGGCCTTCTTCAAAATGACTCGACGTGTTTCAAATAATCTTTCCACTCTGTAGGTTTGGATTCTTTTAGAGCTTCATTTCGACTCCCCCAAAAGGTCCTAGGATGACTTATTACTCCATAGGGACACTCTCAAAACATTTCAAGAGCAGAGGTTGAGAAACAAGTTGTCCAAGAGCAGGGAACACCGGAAATATTTTCTCAACTCTGTGTATTTTGACTTGAAGTCAAGGTGAATGTATTTCTGTTTTCTTTTCCCAAATCAATAGTCTCCTCTCATCCTAGCCTGTTAATGTCAGAGATTGGACCACATAAGCTGGTTGCCTAGACCTACTCAAAAGTTCTCTGTCCCATAAAGAAACATTTAAATCCTCCCCATCCTCTGCCTCTGCTCAGCCTGCTCCCCCCGCAGTAGAATAATAGTCGGTACCTAAAAATTACCTAAAAATTGCTCAATGTCACCCTATGTTATGCAGAAAAAAGGAGGAAAAAAAGGAGAAAAAGAAGGAAAAGGAAGAAGAAAAAAAGGATAAACCTTCAAAGGAAGTAGAGTAAGTACCGGGTGAAAAGGTATTGTGGATAACACCAGGCTGCTGAAAGGTGTTATGAACAATACGTCTTGGACATCGTTAGAATGGTAGTAATGCACTATCCTGTCCTGGCAGCCCCTGGCTCCAAGCTGGAAGACAGCTCTCAAGTGTCCAGGATGGGCTTCCACCATCTTCTCTTCTCCCCTGCAGTCCCTACTTCAACATAGGGTTTCAACACCATACAAAGAGAACAGAGATGCTGCTATTATCGGCAAGGAAATAAGCAGTTCCCAGGCTCAGGAAGATTATTTCCTTCCCAGAAATTGATTGAGGGCTAATGCTTTATGGGGAAAGGACCTTCACCAGAGCCATCAACAAAAAGGAACTAAGACAGGGGTGGAGAACCTGTGGCCTTGAGGCCACATGTGGCCTTCTAGGTCTTCAAGTGTGGCCCTTTGACTGAGTCTGAGTTTTATTAAGGGGATTTGTTTCTATGAAATTTGGCACCCCTGGACTAAGTAAACAAGTTCCTTTGCAAGATAGAGGGAAAGTTAGAAAACCTGTTTGCCCACCCAATGACCCCATCTGTATGACTTACCTGTTTTTGACTGTAGCTCAGCAAACTTGATAGCTAGCCAGTTCACACTCCTCACCCAAGCAACTGCCCACACAGGCAACTTCTTAGGGAAGTTGAATTCTCCTTTAAAGAATGTGGACTCTCTTGGCCCTTGAGGGAGCTTACCAACTTTACTTCAGTTTTGGTGGAGGGGAATCCTGGGAAAACTCCAAACCCATACAAATGAGCATCCCATCCTGCTCTTAAAGTATCAGCAAAGGCAGGCAGAATCTTTGGAAGCTTCTTATCGCACACAAGAACGTTTTTGGCAAAACGTGAGTCCCTGGATTTCAGATGGCATGACAGGAAGATCAACTGTGTCTAAGTGAAAATAAGAATTCTGAATGTAATCCTTAAGAGCTTACTCTGTAGGAAGGTAGTAAAACTAATTTTTAAAAAAGCTACTTTTTTAGAATCATTATTAACTACAAGCATTTATTAAGTACCTACCATATGCAAGGCACTTTGTTAAGAGCTGGGGATGCAAAGGAAAAGGAAAGCAAAACCACTTTCCAATTTCAAGATCCATTTACCTGCTTGAAATGTCTACCTAAATAACCTAGATCATTCATGTAGACAGGGCATGGTACTGAGTGTGAAACCTGTAGGAAATGGCTGTGCCCAGATAAAACCCATGGAATGGAAGGTCTATGGTGTGATTTCTACTACTCATCTGTGTAGCATCTATACTATACTGTATATCTTGTAGGATATACAGTAGGAAGGATATCTTCTATCCTTCTAAATGACAGAGGTGATAGGAGTCATTACTTCTCTGTCATGGATACTCCCTTTCTTGATACAGCAAACAAGCCCTCCTTCATAAGTTTCTGTGACTGAGAAAATTCATCATCTCCTGGCCAGCCTTCTGGTGATGAGCTGAGCCACACTTGGGCTGTTCCTTAGACAACAGATACACAACCTCTGCCCGGACTAGGAGACTTTCTGACTTGTCTATCAGACAGACAGAGACTTTCTGACTTCTCTTGTTCTGGCCTGTCTGAGCTTTGAGACACCTTGGCAACACCTTTGAAAACACAGGGTCACCTCCATACCACAATGAAGCAATGGGCTGACTTGAGGGAAGGATGCTATAACATATGGAATTTACTTCTGTCACTACATGGTTATCCTTTGCAATTGACAAAAAGAGAAAAGGGTCCTGGAATTGAGGCCTAGAAGGGAACTTCAGAAGACCCCTATCTAGTGCACAGTTTCTAGGCATCCCTTCTCCTTAGGAATGCTCCAGTTTATGGCACAAAGTATGTGGAAGTAGAGGGCATTTCCCTGGAGGTGGTATCTTATGTAACTAAGGCGAGTGACCTAATTATCTTTCCAAGAAAGACTTTGGGCCCAAGTGTTCTGAGTCTCCATCTGAACCCCCAGTCCTCCTACTATGCTTGTTAATGTGGATGTGTGTATTTTTTTTTCAGAAGGAAGAAAGAAATCTTTGTGATAGATCCTTCTAGCAGCCTGTACTATAGGTGGCTGACCATCATTGCCATCCCTGTCTTCTATAACTGGTGCATGCTTGTGGGCAGGTATGGAATCTCAGGGCTGGAGGAGAGAAGAAAGTGGTGCCATAGATTAGGAATCAGAACACCTGAGTTCAGCTCTACCCCTGACCAGTCATGTGACCTCGAGTGAGTTACCTTCCCTCTCCAGCGCCCAATGTCCTCACCTCTTCAGTGATGGTGGAGTGGGCACTGGACTAGATCAGAGGTTCTTAAGTTGGTCTGGGAAGAGATTTCGGGAGTTCTGTGAACTTGGATGAGAAAAAAAATTAAATTTATGTTTCAATACAATTGGTCACCTTGGTAATCCTATGTATTGTATTTTATGCATTTAAAAACATGAGAAGAGGTCCATAGGTTTCATCAGATGTCAAAGGGGTCCATGACACAAAACTAGTTCCTTTCAGCTATAGGATTCTATGGTCCCAAGACCTCCTTTTGGACTCCCTACCAAGAGTTGGTCCTAGCTAGACAGGTAGGAAAGACAGAAGATGAGGTTTGGTCTTGTCCCTGTTCTTAGGATAAGCTTAGGGCTTTTTGATACCATTTACCTGAAGATGAAGTAAAGAAAGCTATTAAGGTATGAGAAATAAAGGCAGCTTAGTGACACAGTGGATAGAGCACTGGACTGGGAGTCAGAAAAACCTGAGTTCAAATCCTGCCTCAAATAGCTATGTGACTCCAGAAAAAATTACTTACCATCTCAGCCTCAGTTTCCTTGTCTATAAAACGAGGATAATAATAGCACCTACCCCCACAAGTGATCAAGTGAGATAATATATGTAAAGTTGTTACATGAAAGTGTAATATAAAAGCTGGTCGTTATTAGTATTATTACTGACTGTCACACCTAGGAGCTGACGGACAATGAAGGTTGGTACTTTGTAGTGAAGGAACCGTGACCTCTGTAGCCTTTAGAGGTTGACTCAGGAATGTGCCTGTCTGCATCCTCTGTCCTTCCCTTTCCACCCTTCCCAAGTTCCACCCTCCTCAGTGTGACGATTAAAAATGTTCAAGAGACATAGTTTCTGCACAATTTAATCATTTTATTAATAAGGCCAGCACATTACTAAATAAAAGGATGGTCATTTGGCCGTCTCTCTTAGATTCTCAAACACAAACATGGTGGGCAGGCTCAGGGCTTATATGTTCTTTTGGAAGAGAGTGGCATTCAACTCTGATTGGTTAACACAATCGAAGGTGGGCTATATTAAAATTTGGGGCTGAAAGTGACATCATGTCATCCTTGAACAGAGTCTTATCTCTATACCCAGACTACCCCCAGGTTTGGGCTATCTAATCAAAAACTTTATCCCTGAGTAGATACACAAACCTGAGCAGAACACAATGAGCTTCCCCACCGTAGATAAAATTCCTCAAAAAGCTGGGTGGGGTCTGACTGAGAATGAGGAGAGTTAATTCAATGTCTTTATCAGTAATGTCCTTCAAGAGACTTTTTTTTATTATAAACTATTATATATTATTATATTACATATTATGTTACAAATTATTATTTATTTTTAAAATCATGACTTTAGAAGGAGAGGAGAACTCTGAATCTCCCCAAATTATTGGTTATTAATCATCATTTATCTCATTTGAAAGCCATAAAAATTGACAGCTGGGCATACATTCCTCACCTTCTCTATCTGCAGTAGGAGCTCTGACCTCACCTGTATTTTTTATAATTGCTTAGAGCCTGTTTTGATCAACTTCAAAGTGACCACTTGATGCTGTGGCTGGTCTTGGATTATACTGCTGATGTCATCTATGTTTTGGACTTGCTGGTTCGAATGAGGACAGGTGAGTCTAAGCAAGGTTGCCACATCCTACCATAAGCTACTGAGGTAGGATGTCATAAGAGGTGGCGATTCATGGGAACTTCAGGGTTCAAGGATACACAGGATGGCTGACTCTAAATATTATCTGGATTGACTAAGGAATATAAAGAACATTCGGGGAACACCCTTGACCTGTGAGAATAAGGGCGTCAAGACTAGGTTTGGTCAGCATTTTTCACAAGTGAGGCAATAAAATGCCAGATGTGTTGTGGCCCCTGGCCACCCAACATGATGTAGGACTAGCAGCCCTTCTTGGCCTAGCTTCTTACATTTATATCTTCCCTTGGGTGCTGGTGAAGATTTTTTTTTTTAACAATCCAATCTCTGTCTTGGAAAAAATAAGAGGTAAAGAGGGACATTCACTAGTTGTGTTATACTGGGAAAGTCACTTAAGTGCTTTCTTGCTTCAATTTCCTCAACTGTAAAATGGGGATAATAATAACACCTACCTCATAGAGTTGTTATGAGGATCAAATGAGATATTTATAAACCACTTAGCACATAATAGATGCTTAATAAATGCTTCTTTCCTCCTTTCCTCCCCTCCTCTCTCCCTCCCTCCATTCCTCTCTTCCTTCCTTCCTTCTTTGCTTCCTTCTTTCTGTCTTCCTTATTCCTTCCTTTCTTCCCTCTTCTTTCTTCTTCCCTTTTTTCCTTCCTCCCTTCTTCCTCTTTCCTTCTTTCCTTCCTCCCTTCCTTTCCTTTCTTCTTTCTTCCATTCCTTCCTTCCTTTTTTCCTTCCTCCCTTCCTTTCTCCCTTCCTTTCCCCCTTCCTTCCTTCCTTCCTTCTTTCAAATCTATATCTCTGGAGAAGTTTCTATTTTTATTTTATTTTATTATTATTATTTTTTTTAGGCAATGGGGTTAAGTCACTTGCCCAGGGTCACACAGCTAGTAAGTGTCAAGTGTTTGGTCTGAGGCCAGATTTGAACTCGGGTCCTCCTGACTTCAGGGCCGGTGCTCTATCCACTGTGCCACCTAGCTGCCCCTGGAGAAGTTTCTAAACCAGAAATTCCCTATACTAATGAAACCAAAAGTCTAGACTTCACCCCTGACCATAAAGAGGGCTTGGCTATGGTAGCTGATTGGCTCTGCCCTTATCCTACATCCTCTTGTAGAGGCCACATGATCTCTCGAATGACTAAGTGATCCCTTTCCTTCCTAGGCTTTCTTGAACAAGGTTTAATGGTCAAGGATGCAGAGAAACTCAGAAGGCACTACATGAAGATGTTCCAGTTCAAGTTGGATGTACTCTCTCTGGTCCCCACTGATCTGGCTTATTTAAAAGTGGGACTGAACTATCCTGAGTTGAGGTTCAACCGCCTGCTGAAATTTGCCCGGCTTTTTGAATTCTTTGACCGCACTGAGACTAGGACCAACTATCCTAACATGTTCAGGATTGGAAATCTTGTCCTGTACATTCTGATCATCATCCATTGGAATGCATGTATCTACTTTGCCATTTCCAAGTTTATTGGATTTGGGACTGATTCCTGGGTTTACCCCAACATCTCTATCCCAGAATACGGGCGCCTGTCCAGGAAATACATTTATTGTCTCTACTGGTCCACCCTGACTCTGACTACCATTGGGGAGACTCCACCGCCTGTCAAAGACGAGGAGTACCTTTTTGTGGTGATTGACTTCCTGGTGGGAGTGCTGATCTTTGCCACCATTGTGGGTAACGTTGGCTCCATGATCTCCAACATGAATGCCTCCAGGGCTGAATTCCAGGCCAAAATCGACTCCATTAAGCAGTACATGCAATTCCGAAAAGTGACCAAGGACTTGGAGACCCGGATCATCAGATGGTTTGACTACCTGTGGACCAACAAGAAGACGGTCGATGAAAAGGAAGTACTCAAAAGCCTCCCAGACAAGCTGAAGGCCGAGATCGCCATCAATGTGCACCTGGATACCCTGAAAAAGGTACGTATTTTCCAGGACTGTGAGGCAGGTCTCCTAGTGGAACTGGTCCTAAAGCTTAGGCCTGCCGTGTTCAGCCCTGGTGATTATATCTGCAAGAAGGGGGATATTGGGAGAGAAATGTACATCATCAAAGAAGGGAAGCTGGCGGTAGTGGCCGATGATGGCATCACTCAATTTGTGGTCCTTAGTGATGGAAGCTACTTTGGGGAAATCAGCATCTTAAACATCAAAGGGAGCAAATCTGGAAACAGAAGAACAGCCAATATCAGGAGCATCGGGTACTCTGATCTATTCTGCCTGTCCAAAGATGACCTGATGGAGTCCCTCACTGAATATCCAGAAGCCAAAAAGGCCCTGGAAGAGAAGGGACGGCAGATTCTCATGAAGGACAACTTGATAGATGAGGACGTGGCTGGCAGTGGAACAGACCCAGTGGACATGGAGGAGAAAGTGGAGAGACTGGAGTCTTCCCTGGATAATCTACAGACCAGATTTGCTAGGCTCCTGGCAGAATATAATGCCACCCAAATGAAAGTCAAGCAGAGACTCAGCAGACTTGAGAGCAAAGTAAAGAAGTGTGGGAGCGACTTGTCGGATGCAGAGAGCATTGCTGATGGAGATGCTGAAAAAGCTAAGGACAAAAACCAATAAGGAAATATGCTGATGGGTCTCATTTTGCTTAGTCGTTTACAGTATGGGTCAAGTCATATTCATATATGTACCCAAATACATATACATATACACATATGAGCACACACATACAATTATTTTTATATGGAATTCAAGAAATTTTTAGACTTTTTAATGATCTTATATATAGAGAAAAAACACACAAGGGAGTAGTAACCAGGGGACGTTCTGGTTGGAGAAGTCATGGAAATGGTGAATGATCTTCTCTTTGGAGGTCTTCAAGCATAGGCTGCATAATTACTCCTTGGGTATGTTATAGTGAAGATTCCTTTCATGAATGGGTCTGTCTAGTTCCAAGGGTTATTCACTTTCTTGGGGAGATGGACGCCTTTGGCAGCACAGTGAAGCCTTCTCTGACTAATGAAACATGTTTCAAAATGTATAAAATAAGACATATAGAATTACAGAGGGAACCAATTATAGTGAAATATAGCTATCAAAATCTTTTTTTAAAAAATCAAATTCATAGATCCCAAGTTAAAGATCCATTGGCTTCTAATGTTCCTTCTAATTCTCAAATTCTATGATTCTATAACATCCATAGATGTTTCTTGTGAACAGAATATAGAATATTGTTTTTCTCTTTCTTCCCCCTGAAAAGAAGTTTGGGTTATTGCTAAGTGAGGGTAGATGGGGCTCAATGAAGATAATGACTGTGCTCTGACAGTTGGGGATTCATTCTTTGATTCAAAGGCTCTTCATGAGCTTGGAACATGCCTGGCCAACCTAAAGTTGGACACAGTCATGGTAAGAAAGAGGTTCCTATCTGTGGAAAATGTCACATACCCATCTTCGGGTACTGGGCAGATAAACTATATGCTAGAATTATGAATTAATAGAGCTCCATAATGAATTTTGGGACACAAATTTTCAAAAATCAAAGTCAGGAGACACTTCCAATTGGGGCCCAGGCTTCCCTTAAATTTTTTTGTCATGGACAAAAAACATGGACATTTGTCATGGACCCCTTCAGCAACCTGGGAAAGCTTACGAACCTTTTCTCAGAATATATTTCTAAGAGCATACTGTAAAATACATAAGAATACAAAGAAAACTAATTATCTTGAAATAGTTATCAAAACATTTTAAAAGTGTTAGTTCAGAACCCAGATTGAGAAATGTTGCCCTAAATGATGCAATTCGCACCCTCCCCATCTTCCATCACCATCCCAACGCTCTAGCTGGTTAAGGTCCTGATGGCCACCCTGGAGTGGGGAGGAGGGATCTTTCTCTTTGTCTTATTTCTGCCTGTCTTATTTACACTTTAAACCATTCCGTTGTCATGTGAGGAAAGATCACAGCATCGTAGATTTAGAGCAGAGAAAGATCTAAGAGTTCATCTAATCCAGTCATTTTGCAATGGAATTCTAAGTCCCCTGACTGGGTTCACATCCAGTCTCAACTTCTTACTGCCTACGTGGCCATTCCTTTTTCAGGCCGTATCTTCCTCATCTGTAAAAATAAGGGTTTCTTAACATATTGTGTGTGTGTGTGTGTGTCACATGGACCCTTTTGGCAGTCTGCTAAAGACTACAGACCTCTTCTCAGAAGAATGCTTTTAGATACGGAAAATAAAATACATAGGCTTACAGAGGAATTTGTTATTGTTGAGTCTTTTCAGTTGTGTCTGACTCATCATGATCCATTTGGGTTTTTCTTGGCAAAGAGTGGTTTGCCATATCCTTCTCCAACTCATTTTACAGATGAGGAAACTGTAGCAAACAGGGGTAAGTGACTAGCCCAGAGTCACACAGCTAGTAAGTGTCTAAAGCCAGATTTGAATTCATTAAGATGAGCCTTCCTGGGGCAGCTAGATGGTGCAGTGGATAGAACACCACCCCTGGAATCAGGAGGACCTGAGTTCAAATTTGACCTCAGACACATGATACTCACTGGCTGCATGACCCTGGGCAAGTCACTTAACTCCAATTGCCTTGCAAGGAAAAAAAAAAAGATGAGTCTTCCTGACTCCAGGCCGCCACTACACCACCTAGTTGCCCCCATCTTTTTACCCTATCCAAATTCAGGTAAAGAACCCCAGCCTAGATGATTTCTAAGGTCCCTGCTAGTTCTGCAGCTTTGAGCCTAGGACTTTGTTCAGTTGTTACAGTTGTGTTCAACTTTTCATGACCCTGTTTTGGGGTTTTCTTTGCAAAAATACTGTTGTGATTGGCTATTTCCTTCTCCATCTCATTTTACAGATGAGGAAACTGAGGCAGACAGGGTTAAGTGACATGCCCAGGGTCACACATTTAGTACGTGTCTGAAGCCACATCTGAATTCATGAAGATAAATTTTCCTGATTCCAAAACCAGTGTTGCATCCTTTGCACCTTTCCACAATAGAGCAGACCATAGCCATTGGGATCTGGGCCATTCCCATGTGAGAATATTTCACAGGAAGTCTGTTTTCATGAAATGTGCTCAGAGTCAGGAAGAATGATCCATATAACTATTTATTTTTGATCTGTTCAGCTTCATGTAGCCTACCTAAGGAGGTTTCACTAATGTTCAGGACCCACCGAACCTACCCAATGTTGGAAGTGGTGGGATGGGAAGTTGAAAGGAGAAGTTCTTATGCAGGTAGAGATCAGTCAATAAACATTTATCAAAACCTACTATGTGCCAGGCACTATGCTAGGGGCTGAGGATACAAAAAGAGGCAAAGGCCAGTTCTTGCCCTCAGGAAGTTCACAATCTAACAGGAGACGGCAAGCCAATATGCTCCAGCAGGCTCTATACGGGAAAAACTGGAGATAATTAACAGAGAAGGTCCTAGAAGTAAAACATGTGGGGAAAGGCTTCTTGTAGAAGATGTGATTCTAGCTGGGACTTAAAGGAAGCCAGGGAAGCCAGTAGATGCAGATTAGGAGGGTGATCATTCCAGGCATGGGGGACAGCCAGAGAAAATATCCCAATGAATGAGCAAGGTGACCCACAGAAGGTGGTTTGATGCCACGGCTGTCAGCCTGGGAAAGCACAGTCCTGGCACTGATTTGTATTTCATTTCTCTGCAAAAGCTTTAAACTACCATAAGATTTTCATACTGCATGAACCTCAGCCTTTAAAAAAAAACTATCCAATAAAGATGGATGTGGAACTTCAAAAAAATTAAGTGTATGCCCTTTTCTTTTGCTAGTGGATTCATGTGTCTGTATTAAGATTTTGTAACTGTTGATTATTACTCTAGGGACAAACACATGTTGCTAAGGGGGTGCAGAATGAGCACTGTACTGGGAGGCAGGAATCTGGGTTCTAATCTTAGCTCTGCCACTCACCCATTGTGTGACCTCCATTTCCTCATCTGTAATTATGAGGGGAATGGGTTAGATGATCTCTCCAGGGGTGGGGAACCTGAGGCCTCGAGGTCACATGTGGCCTTCTAGGTCCTCAAGTACAGCTCTTTGACTGAAGGGCCACGCTTGAGGACCTGGAGGGCCACGTGTGACCTCGAGGCTGCAGGTTCCCCTCCCTTGTCTAAGACCTTTTTCAGCACTAACGTTTTATAATTCTGTAACTCTGAAAGACTATGTCATTCATGGGGAAGCAAAAAAAGCTAGGCTTCGATTACTTTGTGCAGCAATAAAACACGTAACTTGGATACAGCAAAATGTGAAACCTATATGGTCTGACAAACTATGGTCACACACTAAGTCCTTAACATGGGTTCCACTAGGCAACTGTGTCTATGAAGAGCCCATATGTGGGGCAGGGGGAGGGAAATGTTTGGGGATTATTTGAACCTCATCTCTGTCCCTGCTATTGATAATTTGGATATGTGTAACTCCATTTTATTCTCTTTTCCTCCCAATATTAAGAGGTCTGCAAAAAGTAGCAAAATGGACCCCATTCTATTTTCTCAGAAATGTATATTTTTAAACCCTGAAATGTTAGTTCTGCCTGAGCTAATATTTATTTAATAAAAATATGGAGTGAAAAATAAAACAAGGAATGATTCTTCTCTGAGATGTTATTCTATGTGAAGGTTAGGCACTGAATGTGTTTCTATGGCAACGAGTTTGGCTTTCCTAGAAAGAACAGGTGCGAGATACAGGGGATATAGACATGGGCTCAGCCTCAGACAAACCACACACACACACACACACACACACACACACACACACACACACACACACACACAATGTGAGAACATATGCTAATGCAGAGGAGGCTGGAGTTTTCATTTTTTTAACCAGGTGAGAAAAGTAATAAATATGTCAAAATTATTCAATGTAAATAATTTAAAGCATCCAAATGTGATAGGAAAAAGTCTAGTAACTCTAAAAAAGAGGGGGATATTTATTGAGCACCCAGAATGTGACCTAGTTTTTTTGAATCTCTTTCTACCCAGAGGTGAATGAGAGTTCCTGCTTTTTCTGATGGGCCTCTCCAAAGTTGGGGTTGAAGGAGGAAACCAAAGATGAGGATAGGAATCAGGGTGCATTGGGGTGAGCCCTGCATAAGAAGCTGTTGGTTTCTTGGTTATTTTAACTTTTAAAAATATTATTGCATCGAGCAATCAGTCTCCACCAATGAGGAAAGCCATATGCAAATAGCCTTTACATGAATCAAACCATACTTATGTACTTTAAAATTTACAAAACAATTTCCCTTACAACAGTTCCAAGAGGTCAGTACTACAAGTGTTTTGTTTTGTTTTGTTTTGTTTTTGGATGGGGAGCAGTCTAGACCTGCGATTAATTTGTGTAAGGAACTCCTGGTGTGGGAAACTTGCCCCATGATGTAGATCAGCAGCTCTTCAATAACTTGCAATGTTAGGGAGTTGCCTGGCGGCCTGGACCTGGGCCCTACCAGAGTCACATAGCTAGCAAGTCTTACAGTCAGGATTCAAACCTAGGCCTTTTGATTCCAAATCCAGTGTTGTTTTCACTATGACATCCTGCTTCCCTTGTGTTCTGAGGCTGGGTTTGCCAGGAAGCAGATAGCTGTAAGACCTCAAGCAAGCTGCTTCTCTGTTCCTCAATTACTCAGCATGAAAGGTGTTGTCAGTTGAGGCTGAAGCAAGAAGCTGCCCCATGGTGGGGAGTCAGAGACCCTTGGACACTGGACATATGGTCAATGCTTGGGGAAGCAAGAGAAATAATGGGGGAGAAGAGGTGGCCTTAGTATACCATCTGGTAGCATCCTACTTTCATTATGCTTGCTTTTTAATTATAGGGAAGCTGGTGGTGCAGTGGATAGAGTGCTGGCCTGGAGTCAGGAAGACGTAATTCCAATCTGGCCTCAGATACTTACTTGCTGGATCGAGTCATTTAACCTCTGCTTCAGTTTTCTCAACTATAAAATGGGGCTAATAAAAGCACCTAACTCCTAGGGTTGTTGTGAGATCAAATGAGATAATTTTTTTTAATTTTAGTCTTAAATACTAAAACTTATATGCACAATAAGAAAAGAAAAGGAAACATTATAAACAAATACAAAATAAGAAAAGAAAAAAAGCACATCACATGCACATATATAGCAATAAATTTCCTTTTCAAGAAAGCCTGTATAATGAATACTACATGCTGTGTTGAGAGCTGTCCATTTTTTCTTTGTTTCCTTGTAAGTTTTCTTTTGTTCTGAGATAATGTTCTTAAAAGGTGCTTAATAAATGCTTATGCCCTTCCCCCTTGGTATGTAAATGTTAAACTCTATTGGTTTATTCTGTGAAAGAAACACAAGTGTTGTCAGCTCCTTCTAAATTTGGCAGTTTATAGAATGCCAAGTGCCCTACCTCAGTTAGGCTTTTACACTTGGGTTATGGCTTATAAGGCCAATCAAGGGAACTTGGTTTATTGGAAAGAGTCTTAGATTTAGATTCAAAGGGCTTGTGTCCATTACATGGCTCTGCCACCCATTATCTGTGTCATTTCAGCTAAGTCACTAAGTTCCTACTTCCTGGAGGGCTCTGACTTCTCATCTGTAAGAATAGGGGGGTGGGTTTCATAATACTTAAGGTCTCTTCCAGCTCTAAGTCCTAGCTGGACTTAGTATTAAGAATCAAGAATAAAATAAAATAAAATAAATTAATTAAGCTGGACTTAGTATTAAGAATCAAGAATAAAATTAAATTAAATTAAAATCAAAAATAAAATTAAGAATCAAGAACTAAGAATAAAATTTTATGTAAATATAAGGGATTATCATCAGCATCACTAAAGTATGGACATTGTTGTCATTATTCAGCCATGTCCTACTCTTTGTGACCACATTTGGGGTTTTCTTGGCAAAAATACTGGAGAGGTTGGCCATTCCCTTCTCCAGCTCATTTTATTGATGAGGAAACTGAGGCAAATGAGGTGAAGTGACTTGCCCAGGGTCACACAGCTAGTAAGTATCTGAGGTTGTATTTCAATTCATGAAGATGAGTCTTCCTGACTCTAGGCCCAGTACTCTATCTACTGCACCACCTAGCTGCCCTGAGTATGGATAACGTAGACATCTAGTAGGATGTGGGGAAATGGGTTCTTTTAAATGGGTAAACAGGTGG